AGGAGTTCATGCATTAAATATTCTGTTCCCACAACCACACATGGTAAGTGGCTACTGAAAGGAAAAGATATGATGGCCAGGTGTGGCTAATAGCACACCCCTGCTCCTTGCTTATGCCCTCAATGTGAGCAATGTGACGTGTTAACAGAGCTAATGCTACTCTTACCTTTAGCAAAACCTTGTTTTAAACTCGTTAATACCATCTGAAATAAGTTCGAATCCTTACTTTTCCAATATTAAGTAGGGTATTTCTTTTTTTAAAAAAAGCAGTTCTCCTGTTTTTTCATCTAATCTATATTGTTTTCTATCATTTGGATGTCAAAAGGTGTTAAATGCAAATCCTTATAGAGGAAAAGATATATCAGAATTTGTTAAAGGGGAAGATTGGCAAGTACTAGCCATTTGCGGGATCCTTTTACTGCTATTTCTATTCATAGATGTCCCAGTTTTCAAATTAAGGATGATGCTCTTTATGCCACTTCCACCAGACTCCATCTCTGTAATTCTATTTTAGGGAATAAAGTATCTCCAAAAGAAAGAGGGGAATAATCAGGCCACAAACTAGGAGTTATGAATCTCAGCTTTAAAAAAAAATCCAAGCCTGGCTATAACAGTTTCCTTTAGCTTCTAGGGAAGTATTTAAAATTGAAAGTGGGGATTATGGTAAATAAGTAGAAATTAAGGGCTATGGGAAGCAATTGACATTCAAGACCTGAAGATGAGGGGTATGGTGTGCCTGATTCTTCATTTCCATTTTTTTCTGGGAATATTTTTGCTAACTAACCATCAAATCTGAACTACCGGTACTGAAGATATGTGATTGATGTTTATGCAAAGACTGTTTATTTTGAATCTGTTGCTGATAAGACAGCTACTTGCTGCCATGAACAGAAAGAGAAAGCTTTCGGAGCTGACATTGATAAATGTGGGATAAAGCCAACTCAGGTTAAAGAAAGTTGATTGGCATTTTCAGAACATGAGGCTTTGGGAAACATTTCTGTGCATTAAGGTGATGTGCGGTACATTAAGGATATCACAAAAAATATGGAGTTTATATCAGCAGAAATGAAAATATGAAAGGGCTTGCTGTGATTTTAAAGGGAATTTGCTTGCTTTCTAAGACAGAACAATTGAAATTTCAGTTTGGGACTTCTCTCTGTGACCAAAAAGATAAAACACATCTACTTCAAAGCAGTACAGTTTCAACATGAGAAGCAGCAGGACATCTTTTAAAACTTATTGCTCCCCCCCCCCTTTAAGATATCTTTTGTACTCCAACTTTCCTTCAATAGGTCCCCGAGGTGGCTTACAACTGAAGGCAAGCCCATAATGAAATATTTAAACTGTAAAACAGCAAAATGAATGAAAATAGCAGTAAAACAGTAGAAGAGAATTCATATTAATCCTCTATGTGGTCTGTCACATAGATGACAAATGATATGGTACCAGACAAATATCTCAAATTCTAGGAGGGTACAGTGGTACCTCGGGCTAAGTACTTAATTCTTTTCGGAGGTCCGTTCTTAACCTGAAACTGTTCTTAACCTGAAGCACCACTTTAGCCAATGGGGCCTCCTGCTGCTGCCGCGCCACCAGAGCATGATTTCTGTCCTCATCGTGAAGCAAAGTTCTTAACCTGAAGCACTATTTCTGGTTTAGCAGAGTCTGTAGCCTGAAGCGTATGTAACCTGAAGCGTATGTAACCTGAAGCGTATGTAACCCAAGGTACCACTGTATTTCATTGCTGGGGTTTCAGACAGACCATAACAGGTGGGAGCAGCTCAGCCAGTGTGGTGGAGTTGTGCAAATAGCCTCCTGGTTGCAGCATCGCTGCCACTTTCCAGGAGCGGAGGGCGCAAGATCACAGAGAGACCTGGACTATGCAGGCACAGTGGCTGTAGTGCTAGATTGGCTTTGCTATTGTGCCCATGCAACCCCAACCTCACCATCATCTTGCCCCTTTTGGTACCACTGCCAAAAGGCTATTTCTTCTGCTCCACCCCAGCAATTGAGCTGCACCTGCCAGCAGTACCACTAAACTGACTGCACTGTGTTTCATTTTATTGGCCTTCATCTCGCCCATTTCTATTTCTAACGGCAAATTAGTCCAAGAGAATGTTATGCAGCAAATTTATCTTTCAGTGCCAAGATGTTTTCAAGGTGATGGTTACAGTTTAAACAATAAATCAAAGGGATTTTGCAATGTGCAAATTTCTCTAAATATTAAACTGCAGTCCATGACCTGCTCATTGACAAGTGGTCCAATTGACCTTAATAGGTGGCTAATTCCAAATAAGACCAATTTATGTAGCAGAAGCATAGTTCTTATAGTTATTAGTGTTTGAGTAAATCTGTCTTTGTAAATGGTCCCTCAGTTCTGCATAACCCTTAACAATTGGATATGTGTATGCAGCTAAACAGTGAATGTGACCCCAAGTCATGTGTTTGCAGATTCTCATTCTTTTCTATCCACGCATGTGCCCACAGAGGTCCATTGATTTCATTGGATCGTACCAATTCATTCTGTTTGGAAGTCAAGGTATTCTAATTTAGTTTTGCTCTGTGAGTGAATTGGGTTTCCCAAGTCTCCTCATTAGTGTCTGTCAGCATTAAATAATAAAACACTAAGCTTTGGTGTCCTTTTGCTTTTAGCTGCTTGGCAGTTTCATTTTATGATGTTCCAGCCTAACTATTCTGTTTATTAAGCCCTCTGAATGTTAATTGTTATCCCTCCAGGTGGATGTTTTTCAAGTGGAAGCCATCGATATTGGAACTCTATCTGAGCTGCTTGTGGAAAAAGGAAAAGGCTCTGATTGGCACCTTGAGAAGATTATTGTGAAGGAGCCAAAGTTTTCAGGAAAGGAGATACTTTTTATGGCTCAAACATGGCTGAGAGACAGAACTGATCGGAAAAGATGTGCCTCAGTAACTCTGACTGGTACAGGTCAGTATTGTTTGAGACATTACTTATTTGCTGAGAATCTCCTTCAGAACTGCAGACCATGCCACTTTTTCTATTTATTATAAGTCTGTTATAACAGAAAGCACACCATGCAGAATCTTTGCTTACCACAGCAATGGCCCTGGCCAGCTTAGCAGTTAGAATAAAGAATATTAATAAGCTATTAGAACTCGCAACCAAATGGAACACAATTTTTATGAGAATTTTCTGTCACCAATTTCCTGTCATTTGTCTGCAAGCCATCCCGTTCTAAACCACTGGTTGAGTTACTGTAATGGCATGGAATGTTCACAGCCATTCCACCCACAGTATGAGAAGAAGCATCATTAATCTGACTGTTGATTAAACTAGCGGCTGCTAGTGGTAGGTGCTTTTTCTGTCCCTCTCTTCAGTTTGCCTTGGATTTTCTAGGCTTGAGCTCTGGAAATAACTCAGTTTTATTACTCAGAGTTTGAAACCTCCTTTTGTGTCACCTGAGGCAGGAAAGTCCCTGCCAGCATGCTAAACCAGTCCTGGGAAGCTGACTGGAATCTTTCAAGCCCACAGCAAAATTCGTTAATTTCACCCCAGGAATCATTTCCCAAGTCTTTAGGAATAATATTAAATAAAACATTTTAAAATAAATTGTAAAGGGTTAGGAAATCTGCGGCCCGCAAGATGTTGTAGGACTCCCATTGGTCCCAGCCAGCATAGATAATGGTGAGGAATGATGGCAGTCATAGTGAGTGCTGCAATGTCTGGAGGGCCTCAGGTTCCCCATCTATGATATAGACATTCATGGTTATATAGACATTCTTTTGCAAAACTAATGCAGCGTTCCATCTTGTTTTAATTAGAAATACAGGAAAGGAGAAGCACCACTGCCTCACTGTTACAAAAGCAAGAGATGAAATCAGGTATTTTACATCACTGCAGCTGTGTCAATCAGAATTCTATCTCTAACAATAGCATATGTCTATCAAAAGTGTGTGTGTGTGTGTGTGTGTGTGTGTGTGTACATGTACACACACACACACCATATTTTGGGACTTGCTCTGAATTTGCAATCTTTTTGGTTCTCTATAAAAAGTGAAAATTAAAAAAAATATATTAATTACCTATGAACCTGCTGTTTGTTCTAAAAGACATAACACTCTTTGATGATGAAGGGATCATATTGCATTCATTGACAGTGGCACAATTAGCTAGTAGCCAGAGATGGGGAAAGATCAGTTCCCCATCCACTGGTGAGCAACGGATGAGAGGGTGGAGCACAGCTCATATTGATGAATTTGCCAAAATAGTGAAAGTAAGAGAGGGAAGACGGCAAAATGATCTGTATAAAACAGAAAAGGAAATCCTTAATATATTACTGGATGATAAGCTAAAGGACATTGTACAGTACAACGATGCTCACTACAGAGTGCAATTTGATCAGTTCTGATTTTATAACAAGCACTTTCATTCAGTGCCAGACAGAAAGTATTTTCTTTGTTATGGAGTTATGGTTTTTCATTTAAACTTTGTGTTTCTTTCGTATTTTAAAATGTAAAACTATTTTCTATGCATTTCCATGAAATACTGTAAGTGAACTGTCAGTCTTTTCATAAAGCTTCTAAAACAAATATAATTTGAAAATTAGAACGAAAGAAGAAGAAAAAGAAGGTTCTGGATGCAAATCTCAAATAGCAGTCAATTATGCATTCCTGGAGCGGCTTACTCTAGAAAGAATCAATTAAGCTAATTTTTTTCCTTTTCCTTTCATCTTTTTCTCTTGTTTGTTTGTTTTTGTCCAACCCTATTTGAGAATATTTACTCTTAAATGCTATCCTTATCGGTTTCTATACATGTAAATAAATATATCCTATTGTTTATAATATATATAATGCAATTGTCTGTTTGTGAGTTACTATTTATTATCATATTATTTTTCAAGTATTGCTAATTCCTCTCTAATGTCTCAAAGTTGTTAATAATAATAATAATAATATAAGCCTGCTCTAGAATCAAAAAATTGTAGAGATGGAAGGGGCCAACCCTCTAGAATGCAGGAGTCTTTTGCTCAACATGGGGCTTGAACCCACAATTCTGAGATTAAGAGTCTTATGCTCTACAGACTGAGCTATCCCTTCATGAAATAATTGGTTTAAAGAAGAGTCCATAATGTTTTAGCCTACTGTTTTTCCCCCATTGGTTTTATTTACAATAACTTGTTTAGTCTTCTCATAATGTTATTCAATTTCATTTTTTCAGAAGGTTCATGGAAGATTTATTTCACTGAATGTCATGAAAATTCATCAAAAGAATTTAAGACGTCTTGGGGAAACATTTCTAAACTTGTTTTGGTATTTTATGGATGCAATGGCAAATCTGAACCAATTTCCTTGGAGGATAAAGTAGGAGATCAAGCAGAGGACCAAGTAACATATGATGTAAAATAATGTATACTTGTTATCACCTTTGCCAGTGTTTTTTATAGACGAGCTTTTTATAGGCTTAATTTAGCAGCTGCATACTTCTGCATAGGTTAAGTTTCTAACAAACCAACTCTATTGCTGGGGTGAAGGACCTATTAAAATGGCCTGTCTGAGGAGTCCGGTGAATCCCAATAGTTTTATGGTAGCACTTGGGGATTTTCTTGGCAATATGGTAGGAATTATGTTTAAGCAAAGCCAGGTGTGCCCCCTGGTTTTCCTCAGAGCTTTGGGCAATGAAACTGGAAGGACATTGACTAGAGCAATACCGGTGGAAAACTTGTGATGAATCAAGCAGGCAACAGCCCAGATTGAACATACTCCATGGCAGTGTAGTTGCCAAACAAATTATTTTCCTCCAACACCGTTGCATCTGTGCAGAGTTATCCAACATAATTGTTTCAGGTGATCAAAGGTTTCTTTGGGGGGTAATTCCCCAGAGAGAAATGATTTCACATCCCTTGTTGTCCTGCTTGCAAGACACTTTACAGATAAAAGCACTAATTTTCATTCTGACTTGAATGCATATGCTGGTTCTTCTGTGACTTCATCATCAGCTCCCTCTTTTTCTCTGGATTCTTTTTGGCATGTGTTACATGAGGAAATCGATAGTTTCCTTGGAGATAGCCAACCCACTGGCTGTACTCTAGTCTGTTGCCCAGCCTGCCTAATAAAAGCAGTCAGAGAGGAACTGGCCAAGTGGGTTATTGTTGTGATTAATGCCTCTCTTCAGCATGGCATGAAACCATCGGGCCTCAAGGAGACAGTGGTTATACCACCCTCTCAAGAAAAGCCCTCTCAAGACCCGATGGTGTTTGGCCAACCCCAAATATTCCTTTTGTGAGCATAGTGTTGGAACTAGTGATAGTGTCTCTGCTCCAGGTTTTCCTAGATAGAAGTGATGTTCTAGACCCATTGCAGCCTGGCTTCTGCCCTGGTTGTGGGACTGAAATGGTTTGGTCATCTTGGTAGGTGACCTCAGCCAAAAATTAGACAGGAGGAATATATCCCTGTTGGTGTCACCAGATCCAAAGCCATCCTTTCCCCCTGACGTACCCCCGGGACGGGAAAGGAAAGTACACCAGTCCTAGAGCTGCCATACTTATTTTTTCTCCAGTTGCCCTTCCCCCCAGCATCCACTGTAGCAGCAGGAGACTGGCAGGGTTGTATGGTGGAAGAATTGCCAGCTCTTCCACCGTTAACTTCCATCCCCACCACCAAAGGATTGCTCTGCTTGTTAGTGATACTATAGTCCTATTGAAATCAATGTGATTGAAGATATCCCATTGATTTCAGTGGGGCTAAGGAATGACTGCATCTGTATCTAGCCCAATGTGTGTCCTCATCACCATACTGAGGGTATACTTTGCAAAGCCAGTAAGTAAATTTAGCTGTTTAGTGGGGAGAAGGAAGACTGGGCTCTCAGAGGAAGAATCTCAAAACAATCTATATTGGCCATTTGTGCTCCTTCTGAGGTCTGCAGGGATGTACAATGCTTAAGAAAATAACATATCAAAATGTCCTTTAAAGCCAACAGAATCACTCAAAAGATCAACTTGCCGTGTTGTTTATTTCTAGGTGTATTTCCCAGCTGATTTGGGAATGCTCTATAAAGTGACGTTTGGGCTTCATCACTTGGGAGAAAGCATATCCCAGTTGTTTCATCATTGTAAAATGCAGAACACAGGAACCCTGGACACCTTTAGTCTCTCTATAAATAAAACACTTCCTCTTCTTAATGGAGACCAATGGATTGAATTCCCTGTAGAGTGGCCATTAAGGGAAGCACTTTCCGGTAGGTATATATTGGCATCAGGCATAGAAGACCTCTGTTATTACAGTTCAAACCAAGATAAGTTGCTGTAATAAAATAATATGGTTTAAGCACACATTTAAAATACTTTAAGAAAATACGTTAGAGCAACACATAATAAGTTAGAGCAACACAAGTTATCCCTCCACTTGTGGTGGTGGGGAAGGTCGTCTGTGCACATGAAACAGACTGAGACTGTGGGTATATTAGGCCCTAATATGGACACACAGTCTCAGTCTGTCTCTCATGTGTGAACACCCCCCAAACACAAAAAATTGGAGAATTTGTCTAATAAATAGAGTTGCAAGCTTAATTGGTTTAATTGTAGGTTAAATGTTAAAGGAACATTATCATTTATTGGGCTGAGAATTAAGAGTAGGTTTCTTTTCTGTAGTTATGCTGATTCTGACCTATTAAAGTAAAAAAAGATAGCATTGTCTTCTAACTAGGGGAATAGCTTTCCCTTCACCTCTATGTTCAGCAAGGCTAGAGAATGGCTTCAGGTTTTCACCTTTCTTTTTCTCACTCCCAAACTCCAGCTATGCATAGAAGCTTATACCATTAGAGATGCTGTCCAGGATCTGGGGGCGACCCTGTATTCAGGATGGTCACAGTGTTAGGCACAGAATTTCCAGGTGGAGGCATTGGTTTCTACATGGAGTGAATGTGAGGAAATAAAGGAAAAATGCTTGAAACTCACTCCTAGGCCGTGTACACATTCTGGCTCCAAGGCACTCCCACCACTGGTGTCTGAAGTTGTGAATACCTGATGTCCACAATCCATATCAATCCTGCACTTTCTTGAGAAATACTGCTGTTTGAAAGAAGTGCCATGGTCAGATCACTTCCTGGTGCAACTGGACTTCTCCGCGACCCTTCCCCTCTGCAGGGAGGTGGGACCAATTTGGATGGTCTGCCCCGCCCCTTAATGGATCCAAATGGTTTCCAGAGAGTGGTAGGGGGTGTTTTATCCCGTGTTGATGGCCTTTCAGCTGATTCCCTTTTGACCCATTGGAATACAGAGTTAACCAGGGCTATTGAAACAATCGCTGAGACGGCTAGAATGCCAGTGGCAGAAAACTCACTCTGAATCGGACCAGACACGGGTTAGAGCTCAACGTCGAGCCTACCAAGTGGCTATGGCGACGGCAAAGAGGACCACCTTCGCCACCTCTATTGCATCTGCAGAAAACAGCAGCAGGAGACTCTTCCAGGTGGTTTGCAATCTATCGGAACCACCTTTGTCATTGGGGCCGGGTAGGGACCCCAAGATCTCCTGCAATGCTTTTACAAAGCTTTTTGCAGATAAAGTCGCTCAGATTTAGAAGGAGGTAGACTCCACCGTGGGAGCAGGGCTGGGGCAGGAGAGTGCTAGAGTCCTGTCTAGTCATGTTATATGGGATCAATTTCAATCTGTTACCTTATAGGATGTGAACAGGCTGCTTGGACAAGTGAAACCAACCACCTGTCTTCTTGATCCTTGTCCATCTTGGCTAATAAAAGCAAGCTGGGAAGGGCTGGGCGATGGGTTCTGTGGGATGGTGAATGCTTTCCTCTGTGAGGGAGCCTTCCCAGGCCCACTGAGAGAGGCAGTCATTAAACCACTTCTTAAAAAAACATCTTTAGACTCAGCCAATATGGCCAACTATCGGCCAGCCTCAAATCTTCCATTCTTGGGCAAGGTGATTGAGCGTGTGGTTGCTGAACAACTCCAAGCACGCCTGGAGGATCCCTTCCAGTCGGGATTCAGGCCTCACCACGGGACTGAAACTGCCTTGGTTGCACTGGTCGATGATCTCTGGCGTGCTAGGGACAAAGGTGAGAGCTGTTTCCTAGTTCTGCTGGATCTCTCAGCGGCTTTTGACCATCAACCATAACATCCTTCTGGACCGTCTTGAGGGGCTGGTTGCTGGGGGCACTGTTATACAGTGGTTCCACTCCTTTATCCTGGGTCATGTCCAGAAAGTGGTGTTGGGGGATGAGTGTTCAGACCCCTGGGCTCTCACTTGTGGGGTGCCTCAGGGTTCCGTCCCCTCCCCCATGCTTTTTAACTACATGCAGCTGCTGGGAGAGATCATCAGAGGTTTGGGTTGGGTGTTCATCAATATGCGGATGATACCCAGCTCTACCTCTCTTTTAAATCAGAACCAGTGAAGGTGGTGAAGGTCCTGTGTGAGTGTCTGGAGGCAGTTGGAGGATGGATGGCAACTAACGGATTGAGGTTGAATCCTGACAAGACAGGGGACAGGGGGCGGGCTGGTGTGGAGGACTTCCTGATCCTGAATGGGGTAACTGTGCCCCTGAAGGACCAGGTGCGCAGCCTGGGAGTCCTTTTGGACTCACAGCTGTCCATGGAGGCGCAGGTTAATTCTGTGTCCAGGGCAGCTAATTACCAGCTCCATCTGGTACGTAGGCTGAGACCCTACCTGCCCGCAGACTGTCTTGCCAGAGTGGTGCATGCTCTAGTTATCTCCCGCTTGGACTACTGCAATGCACTCTACATGGGGCTACTGAATCCAATAATACCACTAAATTCCACTGTTAAATGAGATCCATTAGCAGCTATACAGATTTGGATGAGATAAGTATGCAGTGAACTAAACTAGGGGCATATATGAATTCTGAATCACACTTTGGAAATTTGACCCATAACACCTGAAGGGAGGGAGAATCTGTTTTCCTCATCTATAGATATAACTCATCTATGGTGAACGTATGAACCAGAAGAGTATTTCAAAGTGAGAGGGGACGCAGGAGAGATTTTATACATAAGGGTATAATACATATTGCTACAATAACTATTTTACCTATGGAAATTTTACCTAATTTTACCATCAAGCA